AGGGCCAGATGGCGCCACTGTGTGTGTATGTGTGAGCGCATGTGTGCGTGTGTGTGTGTGTGTCGTCTGCCCATTTTCAAGTTCAGCTGCGCCTGTGCCTATTTTTTTTTTATATATTAATAGTTGTTGCGGCTGACACACATACACACCCACACACACACACACAAACACACACGTAATAATTATAAAAATACAATTGAAATGATGGCATTTACATAGTTAAATGAATGGGTGGCAATGTCAACAGCGGCGGCAGCTCGCAGCTCATTACAGAATATAATGCAGATGTGTACACACTGTACGTACCCACACACAAGCGCACGCACACACAGCCAATTGCAGCTGTTGGCATTTTGAATTGAAATTTTTGCTTTAAAAAAAAAACGGTATGGGGGCGGCGGGGCAGCACTGCCCCACACTTAACATTCTATATATTTATTCTTTAGCCATTGAATGTGCACAGTTAATTATGCTTGTGACTGCTAAATTACATAGATGAGAAAAAAAAAAAAATAGAAAATAAAAAAGAGAAAAGAAAAAAAAAAACAGACCTCAGGCGCTAGCGGTAAACAAATAAGCGCAAACAGCGTGTGTGGGTGGCTGGCTGGGGGTAAGGGGTTACCGTTAGTAATTAATATTTGATATGTATGTGTATGTACATAGCACATACATACATACGCGCATACATACAGACATACACATGATCATAAAAATAAACGACTCCAGCTACAGTCGCCACATTATAAATGCGTGCTCACGACAAAAAAAAAATAACGAATTTTGCAGCATTTTATGGGCCGTGTATAATTTATTTGTTATTGACGTTTCGTTTCGGCACACAACATTTTTGCGAGGATTCCCATTTGCAGGCTGCAGGGCAGCTGCACACACACACACACACATATATATATATATATATGCAGAAGAGACACATCTATAGAGATGTGCATACATGTATGTATGTTTATCGAATTTAGGGCATCAAAGGCCATTTGACCAATCGAATATTATGTGTATCGCAAGCTATATATGCGTGTGCATGTGTATGTGAGTGCGTAAGGCAACGTGAGAGGCTTGTTTACAGCCGCAGCACTTGACCTTTAAATGTAATTAAAAGCCAGAAAACATGTTAATACATTGATTTCAAATTGAAACACCATGAAAAATGGTTTGTTTGCAGCATTCACCGAAACAGAAAACAAACAGAATACAACAATAAAACAACACGCACGCAAACAGCAGCTACAACAACAAAAACAACAGCTGAATCAGTTGAGAGTTGTTGTTGTTGTTGTTGTCATCATCGAATTTACAGCAACAAAAACAAACTCAGTTGCTTTGGATTTAATTGACCACAGACAGACAGACGGACAGACGTACAGACGGACGAAAAGACGACGACAGCTAGTGTGACAGTCAATCAACACATTTATTTATACATATACGTACAAGTACGCATATGTAAATAAAAACATGAAAATCCCCGTTGGTCTGATCGGAATTGGATATTCCAATTGGAATTCGCGAAATGCCAGCCGTATTGGAAAATGTGGTACATACACTAGTCGTACCCTTAAGTACCTACCGTACCTATATAAATACATGTACACATTCATATGCACATATATACTACATATGACTGTCGCGCACGTAGGTGTTTGCGTGCGTCTGTGTGTGTGTGTGTGTGTGTGTGTTTGCAGGTTGTACAATATGATGGATGCGTGATAAAAACGAAAATGAACAGCAAAAAAAATAAAAAAAATATTAAGAAAAAACTTGACTATAGGGTAATCGTAATCGCTCGTATTCTTACTGTAAATGGTATGCCTTCCACGGAGCCAATTGCGAAGCACCGGTCACCCGCATTGCAGGCACCGCTCAATATTTGATGACAATTCATTATTTGTTACAATTGGATATCACATCACAGCGCACAAACTAATATTCTTGGTTCTTTGGTTTGGTTACTAGCACGATTTTTTCTTTGTAAAACGACAACAAAGTGATGAGTGACATTACATAAAAATGTAGGCCAAATAGTGATGGACGCTATCGACTAGTGCTATCGAACAGTGTTTAGTGTGTGACAATGTCGCTATCGATACGTACATCAAAGCGATGAGGTTCTAAACAAAATATCGAATCGTATACATATACATATATAGCGATGTATCGTATAATTATCATCAAAATACAACGCTGCGTCCAACCAAATGCCGTGTATGGTTTGACTGCTTGCATGGGGTTTAGAATTGCCAAATTATAATTGTAGGTTTTTGTGTTAGTTTGGCGCATATTCTAATAGCAAAATGGCCGCAGGTCCAATTGCTGAACGTAACCAAGGTAAGCATTGGCTCTTCATACATATTTACCAGTCGTACCTAAACGTTTTCACAACCTTCCAAATAGATGCCACCATTTATGCCGGTGGTCTGGATGACAAGGTGTCCGAGACGCTGCTTTGGGAGTTGTTCGTCCAAGCCGGTCCAGTCGGTAAGTTGTGCAGGCTTTGGCTTTTGATTTACCCTTGATTCTGATCTGTTTATCCGTGTCTTCCAGTCAATGTGCACATGCCCAAAGATCGGGTCACACAAATGCATCAGGGCTACGGCTTTGTAGAGTTCCTCAGCGAGGAGGACGCCGACTATGCGATCAAAATAATGAACATGATCAAGCTATATGGCAAGCCGATACGCGTCAACAAGGCTTCGGCGCATCAAAAGAATCTGGACGTAGGCGCCAATATATTCATTGGCAATCTGGACGTCGAGGTGGACGAGAAGCTGCTCTACGATACGTTCTCGGCCTTTGGCGTCATACTGCAAACGCCAAAGATTATGCGCGATCCGGAGACGGGCAAGTCCAAGGGTTTCGCCTTCATCAATTTCGCCAGCTTTGAGGCAAGCGATGCCGCCATGGATGCCATGAATGGCCAATATCTGTGCAATCGACCCATATCCGTTTCGTACGCCTTCAAGAAGGATCACAAGGGCGAACGGCATGGCTCGGCAGCCGAACGCTTGCTGGCAGCACAAAATCCATCCGCGCACGCTGATCGACCGCATCAGCTCTTCGCCGATGCGCCCGTACAGAATATGATGCCTGTCATGCCTGGCCAAATGATGCCGCCACCGATGATGGCACCTCCTCCGCCCGTGGTGCCTGTCTCCTCGAACAACATGGGCATGATAGCGCCGCCGCCGCCGGTGCCACAGCCGACACCATTCCCAGCAACGATACCACCGCCGCCGCTGCCGCCCATGGCTGGCGGGCAGCCGCCGTTGCCGCCCACGATGGGCATACCGCCGCCGCCACGCATGCTCCAGCCGCCAAATGCCTGGGCACCGCCCGGCATGCCAGCGCCGCCGCCACGTCCGCCGCCAACGAATTGGCGTCCGCCGCCCGTGCCCTTCGCGCCGGCGCCCTTCTCACGTCCCTATCAACCGGATGGCTACCAGTACTAAGTCCGGCTCTGCCGCTAGCAACTAGTTACACAATCTTAGACGAACCAATAAAACCGTATCACGCATTTTTCACAAGTTACAATTAACGAGTTTCTTAATTATATAAACGAACGTGCTGTAGAAAAGCGAAAAGAATGCCCAAAAGATGAGCCAAAGGCAGGAAGTGAGGCTTCTTCTGCCTGAATGGAAACCAGCTTTAAGCGTTCCGCAGCCAAAGCATTTGGCAAAAATAAAAGCGGAAACTAAGCGTAAAGCTCCTGAGATTATCAGAATATGCTTTGCTACAGCCCAAATCCTTTGGACAATGATTATGAACGGGATATAATTAATGCGACAGACAGAAAAAGGCAGGACGTGTTGAATCTTGCCATCTCTGTCTGTTTGAAGTCTTAAAAAGTATATCTACATTCATTTTCATGTCGTTTTCAAAACGAAACACGAATATTTTAAGAGCTAAATAAACTTAGCTTGGTTCACACAGATCAAGCATAAATATACATTTTTGTTAACTCTTGCCCAAATGGGATGGGAATCAGTTTGATTAGGCTATCTACTAACCGGACAGTTGCGGCTCTCTATGGGAAAACATATTCAGTCCTATCCAGATCTTATGCTTTCATTTTCATCTCGACCCTAACTTAACTTGGTACATAAGTTCTTATATAGTATACACAGATCGAGAGCATATATAATTTCTTGATAATACTTTCCGTAATGGGATAAAAATCATTCGATTTTGGATAAGAAGCTGGTTAAACGGACAGTTCCGGCTCTCTAGCTTAGCTCTTAGCTCTATGACAGTTTATATAAGATATAATAAATACAATCTCATGCTTAAGAACTCAGTCCTATCCAGTTCTAGATCATATATGTTTTCACATCAATTGTGCTTAGATTAATTCTTCTCTTTGATGCTCGTTGGAAGAGTTTTATTATTTGTAACATTTTTTAATTTATTTTTTTTTTTTTTTGGAATAAGAACAAACATTTCCGATCCGATCCCGTGTAGCCGACGCGACAGTCAGCAGATCGGATAACTATATCATATAGTACAACATTTATAACATCGGATTACTATATCATATAGTAGTACAACATTTATAGCATAATTAAAGTTTAAATTTTCAAATATTGTCACCGAAAATGTTCACATTTTGTTTTTTAAATTTCTCCTTTTTTTTTTTTTGTTTCTTCTTTTTGTTTTTGTTTTGTGGCTTTGCGCAAAATACTTTTCCAAAAGGTTATTTCAAAATTATGTAAATACATTTATAATAATTAACAATAACATTTATATATATCTTTATATATATATATATATATATATATTCATATTTTTGGAATATGCAAAAAGCGATGCAAATGCCAAATGCGAAATGCATATTTATGGAACAGCACAAAAACCGATTTCATTTTGGATCAGATACTGTATATACATCCCTTTCTATATATACATATACATACACATATACATATATATATAGTACATATATGCTTGGTCTGGCCAGGTTGACCAGGTTAAATTAAACTATAAATAAATCAGCATCAGCGAATTTCATTGGCTAACCATAACATAGGATCTGTTACATATATATAGGTCTATACAGATATATATATATATAGACATATATCTTTTTATATATATATATCTGTGTGGAGTGCGACTTTTAGACAGTTGTCTGCACGTTCTGCACGGCCTTGGAGAGCTCCACTTTGGAAGGTATCAAATAAAATGCGGGCGTCATTGTCTCGCCGCACGGACACTGGCAGGCTGGAAAAGAGAGGAACGCAAATATATGTCAATAGGCATTATGACTATTACCCGGCATTGCGCGGGCTGCGTATTGTTCATTATGGCCGCTTTTCGTTAGATTTTTCCTAAAGAACTTTATGATAAAGTGTTCCAATGTTGATCAGAATTTGCCTTTCTTCTGTCCACTTACATAACAAATGCTAGTGTACAAAATACCGCTGTCTAGCTTGAACGGTTTCTGCTCTGCGCTCATTCTCAATCGTTCAATCAGTCAGTCATATCGAGGTTTACAACCTTGCGGCAGAGTCTATTCCTGGTCTCCGCTAACATAACAAAAGTTGTATAATATAAAAAAGGCGGCTGCCTAAGTCCAACAGTTTTTGCTGTAAGTTGATCATCAATCAGTCAATTTGTCAATCGATCATGTCTAGTTATCTTTTAAATTCCTTGCTTATTATCCATTTACATAATAAAAGTAAGCTTTCGTGCAAAGTGCATAACATAAGTTAAGCTATTCTGCAGCTTTTCCCTTAAAGACTTGTTGATGAGTTGATGCGTTGATAAGTCAATCAGTAGATTAGTCAATCATTAGGTTTGTCAATCAGTAAATTAGACAATCAGTAAGTAAGTCAATCATTAGGTTAGTCATTCGGTAAATTAGACAGTCAGTAAGTTAGTCAATCAGTCAGTTAACAATAAGTTAAGTTAATCAATTAGTCAATCAATTAAGTCAGTCAATCAGTTAGACAGTCAATCAGTTGGGCAGTCACTAAGTAAGTCAATCAATCAGTAATTCAATCAATCAATTAAGTCAGTCAATCAATCAGTAGGTAACTCAATCAGTAAGGCAGTCAATTAGTAAGTTAATCAAACAGTAATGCAGTCAATCAGTGGGTCAATCAATCAGTCAGTCTTGGCCATAGAATCAGCTTATTTGAATAGAATTTTGACATACCATTCACCCAGCTGAAGTTGCCGATCTTCTGCTCGCATCTGGGACAATAGAGTCGACCCTGGGTATTGAGCATGACGCGGTGCATCCAGGCGATGGGTTCCACAAACAACAGGCTGCGACAGTAATTGCTTGAGCTGGCGACAGGTCCTGGATGCTCCTGACTGTTCGAGCCCAGCGAGGCCTTGCGTATGCGCTCGGCCAGCTGATCGAGTAGACGCGGCTCTGAGCCGGAGGTGGTCGGAGCACTCGCCAACTGCCTGTGCTCGACGCGCTGGAGATGCGGCATGTTGCGCGGTCGATGCTCCAGCACGTGCGACTTGGAGGCGAGCACGCGTCGACAGCGACGACAACGAAAGACAATGGGCTCGGGATTCTCCCGGGTGATATCCGGATCGGGACGCACAACGCCGTGGAAGCTCTGCGGCAATATCTTGGCCTTGCGCACCTGCTCGCCGGCAAGACGCAGCCGATGCATCTTGTAGCGCTGATAGTTGGGATCAATTTTGTAGCCCATGCGACGGAAAAGCTTCAGCTGCGACACAAAGCCCGCATTCGGCTGGACAAAGCGACGCTTGGCCAGCACCAGCTCGTACGCCGGCTGATAGTCCAGCCCATGACGCTTCATCAAGTACGCGATCACCGCCGACGAGCTGCGACTGACGCCAAAATAGCTAAAGGCAGACAAGATCCGTTCGAGATTAGACAGTCGAGTGAGACGCAGCGACTCTCGCTCCTTACCAGTGCACGAGCACATTGCTCTGTTCCTCAAGCGCCTTGGTTATGAACTCCACGCAAGACTCCAGATGCTGCAGTATATCCTCGCGCGGCATATCGGCAACTGCAAGCAAAAAACAAACTGTACAGTGAATGCTCTACCAGGGAACAGCTGCCAGGCGGTAAGAGCTCTTTATCTGGGGTTAATTCTTCCCTTGAATACAAGAAATGGGACATACCCTGCAACGTTTAGAAGAAAGCCTCTTTATTCGTCTAACTGTTTCTATGGAGTGTCCAATTCCTCATTCCTCCAACTTCTTATTGCATAAATCATACGCATCGCACTTTTTTATCATATTAAATGAACAACTATTTTTGATTTTTCAACATATCTTGAGCAACAAAAGTTCTATCAAGTTCTTCTCATATCTTAGCAGGATCGGAATACGATATCATAAAGAATCAGGATTCTTAATGGAAAACTCTTTTGTTTTCAACATAACTCAAACAATCTCACATACTTGGCAACACATTTTCAAATCGTTCTATAATAATACATGGATTCTCGAGGAGCGGATTCTCTAGAGCTTGCAAGGAATATGTCTTCTTCGTGCTAATTGCAGCAGACTTTTCAGTAACCCTTCGCTAAAGTGGGGTTTATTTTCATGCCTAAAAGTATTTTTATGCAAGAGCTCAACTAGCTCAACTAGGTACATAGCAAGGCAACTGATACAAGAGCTGTGGAGATGCAGCCGGAGCTGGAATCTTTGGCTTGCACTTACTCTGCACGTATTTGGTGGTCAGAAGGCTGGACTCCACAATATGCTGCGGCAACGGCACCGAGTCCAGCGTGAGTATGTGCGTTATCTTGAAGGATCTGAGCGTTTCCATATGGGTAGCTGCCGCCACGTTGCCTGCAACAAGGTGTACAAATTTGCGTGAACCACAAGCTGGAAATCCAACTAGAAATGCTTACCCAGAAATAGGCCCGTTTCGACTTCATCAATGCTAACGGGACCACCATCAAAATCATGGCGCGACAATGTGCCCGAGTCCTGCGGCTTGCCCCGCGTTACTGCGCCAACGGGCTCCATGCTGCACGTTCAAGGCCAACAATAACAACAACAACAACAACAACAACTGTTGCGCTCAACGGGACTGCAAACACGGTGCTCACAAATTGCGCAGTGTATGAATTCGTATTGTGAAGTGCTGCATGGCAACTGTTGCAGAGATTCGATGTACTTGCTGCTCTGCTCGCCTTAGCAGCAGCTCACACGTCGCGCCCGCAGGAATTGAAATGGCATTGCTGTTGCTTGTCGCACAATTTCTTGCTGCCCTGATCCCGTTGCGAGGGCCATCACAAGATGGTGGCAATTTGTGCGCAGCTCTGCTTGCGGCCATTGCGCATGACGTCACAATCGTACATATCGAACAGTGGCTACAAGTGAAATGAAAAATATAATATCAAAATTAATTTAATTTAAAAAAAAAATATTAATTTGGTGTATTGTTTTTTGAAATGCTTATATTTGGCGCAAACATAATTGTTTTGTTATGGAATATCACATTTGTGACGTCATGCCAGCAAAAGTCAAAGAAACGGCTTGCGTAACACTGTACGAGCTGCTTTGTAACCAGTGTTGCCCAATGTCCATTACCAGTAATAGCTGAACTGACGATAAGAGTTTAAAAATACTAACGTATAAATAGCTCACGCTGTTCATTTTTGTAATTTGTGTATGAGTAATGTTACACTTATATTTAATAATATACTCTGAAACCCATTCCACCTCAGATTGTAGCGGTTGATTAGAGATTTAAATAAGAGAGCTACTTGTATAGACAACGTTTTCTATAACCATAAGCTTTGATCTAAACAGAGATACAGTGGTAACACTGGCCGTGTGTTATCGATAGCGGCCAGTGTGGGCACATTGTGCAATCGATAGACAATGATTAATTATCCCTAATATATAGACCGCGACGTTGACGGGCACCGGGTTAATCCAAAACAAATATTAAATTACCAAAAATGACTACGCTGCGACCATTTACCTGTGATGACCTTTTTAAATTTAATAACGTGTAAGTGACGAGCGTCCACACAATGCAATTGGCATGCGTCCAATAACAGTCTGCTGGTCTATTTCAGGAACTTTGATCCGCTTACAGAAACATACGGTCTCTCGTTTTACACACAATATCTGGCCAAATGGCCCGAATACTTTCAGCTGGCCGAATCGCCCAGCGAGCACATCATGGGCTACAGTAAGTATTGGCTCATCTAAACGCAATGCCACAAACTAACTTGCCTTCACAGTCATGGGCAAGGTTGAGGGACATATGGACAATTGGCACGGACATGTGACTGCGCTGACAGTCTCGCCCGACTACAGGCGCTTGGGTCTGGCGGCGCTGCTGATGAGCTTCCTGGAAGACATATCGGAAAAGTAACTGGGCGAATCTAAAGAGATATATCTATGTTTAAACTGTCTGTGTCTTGCAGGAAACGCGCCTACTTTGTGGATCTGTTTGTGCGCAAAAGCAATAAGGTGGCCATCAATATGTATACAAATCTGGGCTATATTATATATCGCACCATACTCGAGTACTACTCGGGTGATCAGGACGAGGATGCGTATGGCAAGTGCTATTCCACAATTTTCCTACCCTGAGCCCAATGGGAATGGCTTAAGAGTAGCCAAACGTATCATTCAGTCATCTCCGACAAATTGGGTTGATCTAGTCAGGTTCGTCCGTCTCAAAATGAGCTTATCATCTTTGTACATAGCTCCTCCCATTTCCAAGATCACATCTTAAAGATATATTGACATATTTAGGAAGCGAGAATGATTGCAAGTGCAGCCTAATCTTGGGTTCAGGGTATCTCCTGGTCGGGCATGCCCGACCCAATCTTCTCTGTTGATATTAATGTTGCAATTGCGGCTCTTTTACAGATATGCGTAAGGCGCTGTCCCGAGACGTGAACAAGAAATCGGTTATACCGTACACACAGCCTGTACGATTGGAAGATATAGATATGAATTGATATCCACCCAATACTGCCCGCATTCGCATTTATGTTTAACTGAACATCATGATAATTTACCATATACGATTGGCACAAAATTGCATTCAGTTCGGCGCCGTGCTGCCGTTCTTCCAAAATTTTAGTTAATCAATTATCAAGCAACAACAGCAAAAAAAATTGTATCTAATCCGGAGTTCTTAAGTTTGCCGTTACACACAAACACACACACACACACACACACACACACACACACACACACACACACACACACACACACACACACACACACACACACACACACACACACACACACACACATAGACAGACACAAAGTTCTAAATCTCCAATCTATTGCTAACCTTTTGAGCCCCAAACCCGTACAAACCCAAAAAATACCCGAAAAATAAGAACAACAAATTCCAAGTTGGATTACAATCGATATTGCGTTCATGTAATCCGTTGTTATGTTAATAATACTTATTATATATATTTCTATATGACTTTGTTATCAGTTTTAAAAATGACAAGCCGATTGTAACTACTGAACTTCAAGGTAAATAATATAGTTTTGCATTATCAATGTCCAATTACAAAATGTATCTAACCCTAACTATAATTATGCATCTATCTATTTATCTATCTATCTGAAGAACTGCCCAATAATACGAGACATATTTTGCAGATAACAATGCGCGAATTGCGCCACCAAATGCGGCACGAGGCTTAGTCCGTATCGAGGATATATCTTCTATATACCGAACAGATCATCTCGATAAGATCAGACTGCCAGCGCTTACAACCCAAGTTCTGCCTTTTTATTTGTTTAGCAAGAAAATTATATTGAAAATTTATAGTTTTGCAAGCGAATACACACATGTTTCTTAATTTATATCAATGTACTAGCCGATATTACCCGGCGTTGCGCGGGCATAGTTTGAAACTAGATGTTTTTCGGACTGAAATCAACAACAAATCGATATATTAAGTTTCTGTGACTGATCATGTTTAATTTGTCATATCTTCAGTAGATCAAACTAACTTAATTTGTATATACATATATGTGTGAGTGTGTGTGTGTCGTTTGCATTACAAAGAAGTTTTTCAAAAATAAAAGTAAATTACATTTTGATTGAAAATTAGAAATAGCTAACTTTCATTACAATTATAGAAGAGCTGTAAAATATACGTTTTAGATACATATTGAAAATATATTTCTAAAAAGGACAGTTTCTCTTTTTCTAGATTTATGGATGAGCTAAAACCGGCTTAAGACCGAAACGTTTCGAGCCCAGAACTTCAAAATTCGTAGCCTTCAACTGAACCAAGTCGAACCGTACTAAATCGCTTTCACAAGTAGCTTGGCCTTCAAATAAAAACTCTAAGAAGTAGCCCCAAGACATAACTAGGGTCTCAGCCATGGGCTGATGCCAATTTGGGGTTAAAAGCATATGAAAATATCAACAGATTGCAATATTCTCCGTAGAAAGGGCAATAATAAAGAAAAGTACTTAAATACAGGCGGAATACGATTTGAACCGAAATCTGGGACTGGAAACCGGATTCTGGTATTAAGAACCGATTTTTTACTCTTGCGGTTTTCGCAAGTATCAAAATTTTAATTTGGGTTTATAGTCTTGATGGACATTAATCGAAAATTGGGCGAAAAATTGCTAGAAATTTGGGCTTGAAGTAAAAAACGCTCGAAATGCGGACTCGAAATGTTTTACCTATAGACATAAAGAACTCTGCATTTGGGTAAATTTGCCTTGAGCCTCGTTCTAGTTAAACTGTTCAACATGAAAGCATCTAAGAGTTCTGGGAAATTGCTTTCACAGGCCTCCATTCCCAGGCAGTCCGAGTATTGGCCAAATATAATTACAGCAATTTATGTTAAGTATAAATATTAAATTTGAGCAAAAAAGGGGTATTATTAATTTTGTAGGCGCAGGTTGAACTAATCTATAATTTATTTCTGACCTGACCTATTAAATGATTACTGGGCTTGTTCTTAAGGTTTAAGTGCAAATTATACTTGAATATTAAATTGAATGAAAGAAATTCTTTGTGATTTGGAATCGCAATTCTATGTGACATGGCTATAACCTTGGTAGGGACCTACGGGAGGTATATTTAGGATAGAAATGGATCGTATTGCGTTTCTTTTGGGCAAGACGTCAAATTTCCCGTTACGGTTTTCTATGATGATTGATATACCCCCTCCCCCCTTAACCCACCACCCTTCCGGTTTGATTTTGCCAAAAGAAGCGGGGTTTTTTTTAGAAAGTTGCCAATTGTATTCTCATGTCACTGAAATCTATCTAAAATTTCGTGAAGCTCTAAGCTAATCAATCCCGAAAAAAAAACAAAGGTTCTAGTCGGGACTAGGGGATACCCTGAACCCTTTTCTTCCAACATCAAATGCATATATATATTCTAGTTTAGAAGCTATATGTCAAGTTTGGTGACTCTAGCTCTTATTATTTACCAGAATTGCCCAAAAAACTGGATATCGATATCGATTCTTATCGATTGCTTGGAAACGGAGTTTGTTATCGATTATCGGAAACAAACTCGATCTGCGCAAGCACTAGGAGCACCTACATCTAAAATTTCAAGTCTCTAGCTCTTATAGGTTCTGAGATCCTTGCGTTCATACATACGGACAGACGGACATGGCTAGATCGACTCGGCTATTGATGCTGATCAAGAATATATATACTTTATGGGGTTTAGAGATGCTTCCTTCTGCCTGTTACATACATTTGGATTTTGCACAAATACAATATAACATTTTCAATGGGTTCAGGGTATAAAAATGACAAATATTCATAAAACTGGCCAAATTCCCCCTGATCTCTTATGTATTTCCCATGAAATAAGTATAATAACGGTACTTAGCATTAAGAAGAAGAAGCGTTGCATTGGCATTGTACGAAACGAGTAAAAATACCAGTGGAAAAAGGTGCTATTCAGATAGATAGTATTGAAACATCTATGCGCACATATACATGCATACATACATACATACCTACTATATCTTGGAGGTACACACACATACATACATGCATACATAACATTTGTACAGGGCTCTGTAAATGGATCTAAGCAAATTTCCAAAGCCAATATTCGCCGCTTCGGCAGTACGAAGAGCCGCGCACAGCAACGTGTGGATTGCCTTCTCCCTTTCGCGTGTGTCACGCTCTGCGTGTGCATGTGTGCGTATCTGTCTGTGTGTGTGTGTGTGTGTGTGTGTGTTCTGTATCTGGCGCTTTGTAAAAGCGTACAAAGCAATATTCAGCTTGCTTTTGCTATTGTAGGGTATCTTTGGCGCAACGAAGCGGCCGACCATTTGTCTTCTCATCTAATTATCATTAATAAGTTTTACAGTAGCAATTGTGGGCATGACAGAGCCACATTCAGATTCAGTTTGAGATTGAGACTCAGTTTTGGTTTCATTTTCACATTTCATGCATGTAAAACTCGTTTCAAGTTGAATTTTGTGCACGATGTGGCAACGCTGCGGCCCAGCAACAGCAGCAACAACGCTGAACATGACGGATACAGATGTGTCTCTGTGTGCGTCGTGTGTGTGTGTGTGTGTGACTGTGTGTGTGTGTGTGTGTGTGTGTGCGAGAAACCGAACATAGGGTAAAAATAAGCGAACCACAAACAGTCAACGGCTACAGAGCTAAATTGCAGCTGCTATACGCGTCGCCGACGACGGCAACGACGAATAGGGTAAGTAAAAAACAGGCAACAACAACAACAACGACAACAACGAATCAACCGGCAAAGCGCAAATGACGCTAAAGCAGAGACGAAAGGCGCAGATGGCAAAAACGAACGAAACGCGAACACGAACACGAACGCTACAGAAACAACAACGAGCGTACATACATTCAGTGTATGTATGAATGCAAGCATACGAAGCGATAAACTGTCAGGGGCGTTACGAACGGGGTACAGCAACATGTGTACACTGATAGATGACAGTTGGATGGATGTACGAATGCGTGTGCGTGTGTGTGTTCGTGTGTGTGTATGCATGTACATGAATTGCGCATACATGTCGGAAAGTAATTAATTTTATTTGCCGCTGTTGTTGTTGCTGTTGACAGTCGCTTAAGTCGCAACAAGCACATGCAACAACCCCTATAAATGCTGGCTGCGACGCCGCTGTCACTGCTACTGGCAGCGACGCTGCCGCTGCCGCAGCCGCAGCCGCTTGTAGCGAACAGCGGACAAGCATTGAATACGAATGAACGTTCGAAAGTGGAAACGATGATAAAGCGGTGCGCACACACAGTCGTGCGGCAACGAGGGGTGAGCTGCCGCCACCGCTGCTGCTGCTGTTGCTGCTGCTGCTGTTGCCACTGGCCACTGGCAACTGGCAACTGGCAATTGAAAGATACAACTTCAGTTCCACTCATAGTCATTCGGGGCGAGCAGTCAGAGATAGGGCGCTCCTGCAGTTCGGAGTTTTTCTAGCGCGCAAGCATACAGCTGCATCCTTTTGTTTTTTTTCTTTCGTTCATTTCATTTTTCGTGCGGCCCCTGCTCGGCGACGCCACTGGCATTCAAGGCAGAGGCAGCGACTACTGCTAGCTTCATAGCTGGCTGGCTCTGGCACTGGCTGTTTTGCTGACTGCCTCGCTGTGGACAGAACGAAAGACAGGCGGCAACTAAAGCGGCGGTCGCAAGCGAAATTTGTTTAATATTAAATACAAATACAAATACAAATACAACAGCAGCAGCAGCAGCAGGCAACGACGCTAGAACTATAATAATAATAATAATAATAAGAACATACATACATCATAAAAAAAGAAAAGGCAACTGTGACGAAAACGGGAGACGAAGCGGAGCTGCGCACAGGCTATACGAAAAGTTTTTTTTTTTTCAAAAAACGCCAAAAAGGTAAGCAGCAGCTGCATTCGCATACGAATTACGAATTACGAATTACGAATATTCGCGTTCGCGTTCGAAATTCGCAAATCGCAAATCGCATTTGGCTCTGGCCTCCCTCTGGGTAACCGTGTCTGCGACTTGGACAAGCAGCTCTCAAACAGAAACTGCAGCTGAATGATGTTATGTTGTTTAGTTGTTGTTAGTTGTGTGCGCAAATACATATTTCAATTCGTATCGTGCTTCGTATTATTATATCTCATCTTTTTTTCTTTTCCAAAATACACAATATACATATATATATATATGAAAAGAAATTTCGTTGCCCCGTTTCGCCTTAATGGTGGTAGTGTGTGCGTGCGTGTGAGTATGTTTCTGTGTGCGCGCGTGTGTGTGTGTGTGTCGGTTTGTTGTGTATATGTGTGTGTGTGTGTGTGTAAGCGAGTTGCTTGCACGTGTATGTGTGCATGTGTGTGCTTGTGTGAATGTGTGCGTGCGAAAGACCGACGACGACCAGTAAAAAGAACCCGACTGACTGTTGGTGTGGACTGCGACTACTGCGGAGAGTAAAATTCGATTTGCTGTGCCCTGAAAAATTGCAAATTGCAAACGAAATGTGATTATCGGGTATTGAAAAAATTGCTGACAAATTGACCAAAAAATTATAAATAAAAATCCAAAAAAAACAGCCAGACAGTGAATGTAATTAATTAACGGTGCATGCAAACAGCATACGGCAACGCTGCTTCTTTTTTTTTTTTTTCTCTTTTTTTTTTTTTGCTTTCTGCTTCCTTTCTTTCTGTAAATGTTTTTCAACTGTAATGCTAATTTGTGTCGCATCCATTCTCTTGTTCTTACACTCTATTTTCATGCCAACGTTTCGCCGGCAACAAAAACAACAACAACAACGACAACAACAACGACGACAACAACAACTATTAAACCGCATCGATAACGATAACAGCCGTGGGCTTAAGCGATAGACATACAGCAGAGAGCAGAGAGAGGCAAAGACAGCGTCCAAGCGGTCAGTAGCAGCAACAGCAACAGCAACGCTGCGCCACTCACTCATCCAATCTCCAATACGAGAACTGCATCGATAACTGCATTCACATCGAACCAGAATCATGTCGAACGGCAAGGCGACGGCTTCGTTCTTTGAGAATGGGAGCACCTCACAGTTTGAGTATTGCTATCAGCTGTATCCGCAGGTGCTGAAGATGAAGGCGGAGAAGCGGAGCAAGAAGCCACAGGAGCTGATCCGTTTGGATCAATGGTATCAGAACGAGCTGCCCGGCCTGATCAAGGCGCGAGGGAAAGATGCGCATTTGGTATACGATGAGCTAGTTCAGGCTATGAAATGGAAACAGTCGCGCGGCAAATTCTATCCACAATTGTCGTATCTGGTCAAGGTGAATACACCGCGCGCCGTCATCCAGGAGACAAAGAAGGCCTTCCGCAAGCTACCCAATCTGGAGCAGGCGATCACAGCTTTATCGAACCTCAAGGGCGTCGGCACCACAATGGCATCCGCCCTACTGACAGCCGCCGCTCCCGATTCCGCGCCATTCATGGCCGACGAGTGCCTGATGGCCATACCAGAGATCGAGGGCATCGACTATACGACCAAGGAATACCTCAATTTCGTGCAGCACATTCAGGCGACAGTCGAGCGACTCAATGCGGAGGTTGGCGGCGAGACGCCGCACTGGTCACCGCATCGCGTCGAGCTCGCCCTCTGGGCGCACTACGTGGCCAACGACCTCAGTCCCGAGCTGCTCGAAGATATGCCCCCGCCAGGCGCCGCCGCTGCCGCTGCCAACACAAATGGCAGCCTCAGCAAGACGAACAACAGCAGCAGCAGCAGCAAGGTCCTCGATGGCGAGGAGGACACCAACGATGGCGTCGCTGTCGATGTCGATGAGGAGAGTCTCGGCGCAGGTATGATCACATCCCAACCCAACATTCCATGCGATACCCTTCGGGCGCAAGTTGTCCAATGCATAGCAGAAGATTGTATATTAGCTGTTTCCATGTTTCGTTCAGTTTTGTAGCGAACTTGACGAAACTAGCTTCGCTTTGCTGCAGCTAGAACAAAGATCGGCCTACTATATCATATGCCTAATAAGTATGTCTGTCCATGTTTCGTTCAGTTTTGTAGCTAACTTGACGAAACGTACGCCCTTCTGTCCATGTTTCGTTCAGTTTTATAGCTAACTTGACGATATATATAAGTATCAAACATCGGCCTACTATATCATATGATATATAAGTGCGATCGGCATGTTTTTAACGATCGAAAGATCGACTTACTATATGTCAACTTACTATATATCCAAATTTAGTTTTGTTTTTATTTTTTAAGAGCAAAATATCGGCTAGATGGAACCAATATATATATCACTATATTATATAGCTGCCTTAGAAATAATGCCTCCCACAGTTCTAGTCGAAGATATCTTAACGAAAAACTTGTCAATTACGAACTGTAGTGTGCCTAATCATCTCTACCACATTTATAAATATTTATAATATATATCTATATATTATACTGGCGGGCATTCCCCGTCGTTGCGCGGGCCCAAACTTATCGCCTCACGTTTAAGATATTTCCTTGACCCCACAATTACAGACCGCGGGAAAGTGCTTACACATATTATCGTGAAAACCCACGTAGTCGAGTTTGTAGAATATAGATTGAGGCACAAGTTGATCATGGATCACTTGATTATGGTATAAAAAATATAAGTTGAAAGCAAAGTTTCGTCGAAAGTAGATTTTGTGAAAGTTGTGAAAAGCCTCTCAAATGGGTTTTCACGAAATGCTTCGAAAATTAATTTCAAGTGAATTCCGATCGTATGACAAACAACTTTTCGTTCCACTCTAACGGGTGGAAGTGTCTAAAAGCTCGTTTCGGCTTGCTTTACCTTAGCCCTTGTGGCATTCACACATGTCAGTCTTTAGACACTTGATCATGTTATAATAATGATGGGTTTCAAGTAGATTTTCACCCATTTTCTCGCCAGAAGAAGTGGAAGTGAGAGGGGTTGCGGAAATTGTAAGAAGCCTCTCAAAGAAGTTGTTTTCACGGAGAGAGTTTTAGGAGAATTCCGATCGAATGGCATGGAACAAGCTGAGTTACAACATTCCACGATTTTTCCACTCTTACGGGTGGAATTCCCTAAATGCCCGTTTCGGCTTGTATTTAGGACTTTGCTTGAAATGTTGCCTGGAGAAGGGTATTTGGACTTCGGCCAGCCGAAGGTTAAGTTTGGAACCTTATTAATGGATGCCTTTCTTTTTGGACAGGCGGTCGCAACACTGCAACAGAGTCGGAAACGGAGAACGAGAACACCAATCCGTTGGCCCTGACGCCGCTGGGCAACTCCGGCGTGGCCAAGAACAACAACAGCAACAGCAGCAACAACAGCAGCAGCAACAACAACAACAACAGTAACAACAACAACACTGCCGCCGCATTACAGGACGGCGACTCGAACTTTGTGTCGAACGATTCCACCTCACAGGAGCCGAACATTGATGACAACACCACGCAGACCACGGCCACCACATCCACGGAGGATGGTGATGGGCCGATGGGCGTGGCAACGCCGCTCGCCTCCGACTCGGAAAGTAATCTCGAGGCGCCGCTCAAAAGTCGCCTGGCAGCAGCTGGACCAGGCGCAGAAGCAGCCGGAGGAGCAGCAGCAGCTGGACCAGGAGCAGGAGGATCAGCTGTTGCCCCGTCGCACAACAACAACAAGCAGTTTAACAAGAATGGACAAAGCGTTGCGCAGCCAGCAGCAGCTGCAGCTTCTGGAGGAGCTCCAACTGCTGCAGTCGCCGCCGCTGCCAATGGCAATGGGAATGGGAATGGAAATGGAGTCCTTGCGGCAGCGGCAGCGGCAGCAGCTGATGTTGATGATGATGATGATGAAGAGGATGATGATGAGGAGGAGGACGAGGATGATGATGATGTTGAGGACGATGATGAGCTAGAGGCTGATGAGAGCAACAGCAGCGGCAGCAATTTGCGTGCCAGCAAACTGCAGCATTTGGCAGCTGCCGCTGCGGCCGCGACGACAGAAGCGACAGCGCTGACAGCGCCATCTATTGGTCAGAAGCGCACCGCCCTGCACTGTGAGTTAGATGGGAATAATGCGTCTGCTGCCGCTGCCGCTGCTGCTGCAGGCGACAAATCGCCAGAGCTAAAGAAACTGCGCAGCGACTGAGCAGCAGCAGCAGCAGCAGCAGGAGCAGTACCGTTAGGCCGCACGCGTATCTGCGTATCTGGTGGAAAGACATATGTATGTAGTGCAGTTGAGTCCGACATTTGAGAGCAACATTACCTACACTTTGCCACAACAACATTCAAGAAATTTTACTATTAAGCAAAACTAATTATACATATAATATATAATATATATATACAACAAAGAAAACATAAAGAGAAACACATAATGAGAAGAGCAGCACACACACACACACACATACACACAACGAGAACATAACATAGAAGGAGAATGAGAAGCAGCACAGCAGCAGCAGCACATAACATAACATAGGCTTAACAGCAAAAGAAGTAAAAGAAAAAAACAACAAAAAAAATATACAAGTAAAAGGAGAACCCATATAAGAGATACATTTCACTAACACACCACACACACACACACACACACCCACACACTCACACATTACTTAGGAACATAGTGCGGGCGCGAATTAGATGAAGTTTAAGTTGAAATTGAGGATTAAAGCGAGGATAAGGTTGAATTAAAAGATGACGACAATTGATAAATGATATAAAGAGAAATAGCCATACGGAGTCCCCAATTGCAGCAGCGATAACATAAATGATATGTGAAAGGAAGAGAAAAAAAAAAAACAAGAAAAACAAAATACAAATACATAGTAACTATTGAATCAGAAACAAATTGATATTTTTACACAGTCAAATGAAATATGAGAAACAAATGATGAAAATTTACAAATGCCGCAGTTGCCCACTACATACAAGAAACGGATGAAAAAAACAATAATTATAATAAAAGTAATTTATATAAGTATTTAAAATTAACAATAAATCAAAAACTTGTCGCATAAACTCAACACAATCGTCCTCCGGTAGATCGCCGCCTCCCTCTTTCATCGCATACACACGCGCACTATTCCTCTCTCTTACTCTCACCCAGGCATACGCTCACTTGAATTCACCACACGCACGCACGCACGCACACGCACACACACACACACACATCCATCCCACATGCAAGTAGACGACGCCGCCGTCGACGTCGACTGAGCAAAAACAAAAAACAAGAAAAAAAAATACAAAAACTCATTTGAACAATGCGAAATTTTTGTGGTCGTATTCGTATAATATAATTTATAATTTATGTGTAAAACTTTTTTTTTTTTTAAATACTATATATAATACTGAATTTTTTATAATTTATACGATAATAATTTTTCATTTGATTTAACAAACTAAATTTAATTTGCATACGCATTCATTTGGCATCGATCTACTTTTGTCTGTCTGGGGAAGTAGCCCAATACGATAATATATATATATATATATATATATTTTTTTTTTGTTAGCAGCTGCAGCTTTTGATTGGAATCGAAAGCGCAGCAGTTGCTAGAGCATCATCTCAACATTATAAACATTTTTAATTGATATAGCATAAGTCCAAATAAATTGTGAAAATATTAAGAGTACAACCCAGCCGGATGCACGCTAATGAAACCTTAAAGTATATGTCGACTGAATTTCTGAATTTCGTGCCAAACATTGTCAATTTCGAACGGTTTTCGAATATTTTGCACAGGCGCGTTAACGATTGTTATCGACCAGCCGCCACCAGCAAGCGACCTATTGGACGGATGGTTGGTCTGCAATGTATTTGCCTGTTTGTGCTGCTTAGTTAAAGCAACTAGGCTTGCACGGCGGCCTAATTGAAAATAGTTAGTGTTCTGATATAATTAACAAGCAGCTGCAATTATCGAATATGCGCATCCCTGGCGTATGCTACGAAAAGTACTGTTTGTTATCGATAGTATTTATGTGCTGTGCACGAAATATATCGTTTAAAGATATGGACATTTATCGATACGCCAGCAACATCCCTATTTTGGTATTTTGTTATTTATTTATTAAAACAAAAAAGAATAAAAAAAAAAACTGTGTCATTCGAGTGCCGTTGCGCTGTTCCAGCTATGAAGTGCCGCGCAATGTTTGGCAGCAGTCAAAACCGAAGCTAAACACTCGGCGACTATGCGACAAAAACGGCTGAAACACACGCTCCCAACACAACATTAACTAGCCAAACACAACACACACACACACACATACACATACACATACACGGCACACACACATACAGAAAAAGACGCCTCGAGAAGAAGAAGAAGAACAAACGGATCACAGAATTGCGGATACGGTTAATTGCGGCACCGTACGCCATGCTGCTGGTGCGTCAGCTGTTCGGCTCCTCCTCGAACTCGTGGGTGCGCGCCCTCATCATATTCGTGCTCGCCTGGGCGGTGCTCGTCTACGTGTTCGTCCTCAAGCTGACCAACAGCCAGAGCCATGGCCAAAACCATCAGGCGCTAGCCCATGCTGCAGTCGCCGGCGGCGGCGGCGACAATGAGCACAATGCCCGTCGGATCAACCAGGCGCTGCAGCTGCTCGAGCACACGGAAAGGCGGAACGAGGAGCTCAAGCTGCTCATCGATGAGCTGATGAGGTATGTTGCTGCCACCAGGTGCCACATCATCATCCACATCATCAGCCACAAGTAGACCCTAAGTCGCAACCCCAACCAAAGCATCAACCCCAGCCCCAGCCCCCTCTCCGTTCCCTTTAAGCCCGCCTAATCCCCAGCAAAAGTTGCCCCATTAATGCGTTCATTCATATGCAAAAAGAAGCAGGAAAAAGTTGACTTCGGCTAGCCGAAGCTTGCATACCCTTGCAGAGATGTTTGAGTGTGTCATATATATAGATATATATATATATATAGAGGTATATAGTGCGATATGGAAATTATGATATGTGAGAAGCAGATCTGGAGCTACCTTTTAATTAGTTTATCAAGTTTCCCTGTGCTTTTTTTATATAGTTTACAGAGCTTGCTTTATATAGAAACTTAGGGCTTGGTCCGATCTTGTCGATCTTCCTATATCAACTTATATGGCTTAGCTAAGGTATATTGAGCTGATCTAAGCCACATTAAGGCGCCCAATTGTCGAGTTTAATAACGATAATCGAGCGATTGAACTAATGGGCTATACGATCTGGTAGAGTTATATATATGGATGTGTTATAGTCAACCGATCTTGGATAGCTGCAAAACTGAAGAAGTAATTGATATGGAAAGGCAGAAGACAGATATAGATAGACAGACAGATTTACAGAATGATTAACATACATGTTAACATACATATTAACAGACTGATTAACAGACAGATTAACAGACTGATTAACAGACAGACAGCCAGACTATTAAAGCTCATCCCTGCTGATTAGGAATAAAGATAATAAAAGCTTACCCATATGCCTGCTGCCAAGTGTCACAAAAGGGTTGAGTGTGCGGCTCGAGCCTGTGCAAGGGTATGCAAATGATGCGCCGTCACGCTCGACACGTCGCCGACTGACGAATTACGAATCACGAATCACCACGCACAACCAATGTCTCTGTGTGTGTGTGTGCGTGTGTGTGTGTGTGGGTTGTTATCTTGTTGACTTTTTGCAGCGAGCAGCTGGATAAACAGAGCGCCATGAAGCTAATGCAAAGGCTGGAGAACGACTCGCACGACAATGCGAAGCGCACGCTGAGCGACAATCTGCCGGAGGATACGCTCTTCGAGGTGGTCGCCGCGGAGGCGGAACCGGCTGTGCCGGCCGGGCCGGAGCACGGCCAGCTGCCCGGCCAGGCGGGCATTGAGCCCAGCCTGGAGTATGAGCTGACGCGTCGGCGCATCCAGACGAACATTGCCGAGATCTGGAACTACTTTAGCAGCGAACTGGGCAAAATACGCAAAATTGTGGGCAGCGGCAATGCCGAGCTGGAGGAGTCCATACAGCAGGTGCTGCTCCAGGGCGCCGAGCACAAGCGTTCGCTGCTCAGCGACATGGAACAGCTGCGACGTCTCGATGGCTACGAGCCGTGGCGCCAGCGGGAGGCCAACGAGCTAAGCGATCTTGTCCAGCGTCGACTGCATCATCTCCAGAATCCCAGCGATTGCGCCAATGCACGCAAGCTCGTCTGCAAGCTGAACAAGGTCCACTGAAGCCTTCTATTATAAAGGAAGCTCATCCCAAGCACAGCTTTCATCCGCCCCAGCATGCTCTCATTCTCACTCTCAGCCTCATTGTCACTCTCTTTTCCTCTCTCTCTTATCATTTTACTCACTTTCTTTCTTCCATTCTTCTTTCGCGCCCATTCGCTAACGTGTTGTGTCTTTAAGAGCAAGAGCTTTTATTTTCCTTGGAAATCTATTTTCCTTTTCTCTCTTTTGTTTAGATATTCTTCTCGCCGCCTGCTCTCTCAATTTGTTTTCATTTAATTATTTTGCATGTTTACTCCCTTCTTTGTCCTCCATTTTGTCGCTCTCTTTCTTCTTTGTTATGCTCCTTCGCAAACGTTGCACTGGCAGCTTTTTCATTCGCCTGAGAATTTCCTCTTTATATGTTTCATTATATTTCATGTTTGTTTGTTTTATTTAAACTTGTAATATTCTGTCATAAGCATGCCCTTTCATTTCTTTTCGTGCGCTCTCTTTCATTTTCATTTTCCATGTACTTTTCGCATGCTCTCTCTTTCGTTTTATCGTTTCATGCTCCTTTGTTTTTCAATGTTAATATTCTGTGTTCAAATTCTGCTCACTTTTAACTCGCATTCTCTATTTGTATATTTGTATAGTTCTTCTCCATTCTTTTTGCTGTTGCATTCGTAAACGTTGCTATGGAAGTTTCATGTCATTTCCTCTTCCAATCTGAGCTCATGTTTTATATTTATGATCCATGTTTACTTTTTCCACATTCCTTTTATTAGCTTTCCCACTCTTGTTCTTCTCCATTCTCTTTGCTGTTCCATTCGTAAACGTTATACTAATTCCTTCTATAGTATATTCATGCTCCATATTTATTTTACCTTCAGTTTGTCCATTCCATTTTCCATTCTCTGCACGATTAGCTTCTGTTCTTCTCCATTCTCTCTTTGCTGTTGCATTCGTAAACGTTGCACTGACACCTTTTAAGCACTATTCATGCGATTGGGTATTCATTTTGTGTGTGTGCTACTTGCAGGGCTGTGGCTACGGCTGCCAGCTGCATCACGTGGTCTATTGCTTCATCGTGGCGTATGCCACGGAACGGACGCTGATACTAAAGTCGCGGGGCTGGCGCTACCACAAGGGCGGCTGGGAGGAGGTGTTCCGTCCGGTGTCGGACAGCTGCCACGATGCGGGCAGCTCGTATGCGTACAATTGGCCCGGCAAGGCGAACACCCAGGTGCTGGTGCTGCCCATCATTGATTCGCTGATGCCGCGTCCGCCGTACCTGCCGCTGGCCGTGCCCGAGGATCTGGCGCCGCGGCTGAAGCGTCTGCACGGCGATCCGATTGTCTGGTGGGTCGGCCAATTCCTGAAATATTTGCTGCGTCCGCAGACGGCGACGCGCGACTTCCTCAACTCGGGCATGCGCAAGCTCGGCTGGGAGCGTCCCATCGTGGGGTAAGCTGCATCGCTAGCCACGTTCACATGCGACAGCTAATCCCATTTTTGCGTTTCCCTTGCAGCGTCCATGTGCGCCGCACAGACAAAGTGGGCACCGAGGCGGCCTTCCACGGCATCGAGGAGTACATGACCCACGTGGAGGACTATTACCGAACGCTGGAGATTAACGGCAGCAGCGTCGTCCGACGCATCTTTCTCGCCTCGGACGATGCGCGCGTCATCGAGGAGGCGCGCAAAAGCTATCCCCAGTATCAGATCGTTGGGGATCCGGAGGTGGCGAGAATGGCCGCCGTCTCCACACGGTACACGGACACGGCCCTGAACGGCATCATACTGGACATCCATCTGCTGTCCATGTCCGACTATCTGGTGTGCACGTTCTCCTCGCAGGTGTGTCGCGTCGCCTACGAGATAATGCAGACCATGTATCCGGATGCGGCATATCGCTTCAAATCCCTCGACGACATCTACTATTACGGCGGACAGAATCCGCATAATCGTCGAGCCGTGATCGCGCACAAGCCGCGCAGCCATGAGGATCTGCAGCTGAAAGTTGGGGATCTTGTCTCGGTTGCGGGCAACCATTGGGATGGCAATTCCAAGGGCAAGAATACTCGCACCAATCAGGGCGGACTCTTCCCCTCCTTCAAGGTGGTCGACAAGGTCGAAACGGCCAAGCTGCCCGTCTACGCGGGCGTCTAGGCTCCATTCCGATTCCGAATCCGAATCCGTTTTCGATTGGGCCTCTCAAATTCTCAAATCTCAACTCGGAACAAAATTCAAACGCAGAACAAAAACTGAAAAAAAATTTAAAAAACAGAAACAAAAAGAACTCCAATTAAACTCGAATCTCGTTTCTGGAACATGTGAACAAAAGGGAAGAACGCGATTCCAAATTGTTGCACTAATTCTATGCATTTTACGTAAGCCGCAGAAATTAATCAAATGTTGACAAGATAAAGAATATACATATAGAAATACATATACGTCTGCATATAGCGTATATCTATGATCTAATTAATATATATATATATATATATATATATATATATACGTATATATAGTATGTTTAAGCATGCCTGTAGGGCTCGAATACGCGCAATATAGTTTATCCCCTTGTAACATAGACGAAACACAAACGTATGAGAAATAAAATTAGTAAAGTTTTAAATTTCTCAGCTGTGTCGCATTCATTTGGGCAACGAAAATGTACCTAATGTACCACATTAGGTACTTTAGTCAATGTACCATTTACCTATAAAGGGGTACTTTTATGGGGCCACGCCTTTCAGGGGGCGGACATAAATGAAAAAGTATGTGAAATTTCTCAGCTGTGTCGCATTCATTTGGACAATGCAAATGTACCTAATGTACCACAATAGGTACTTTATTCAATGTACCATTTATCTATAAAAGGGGTACTTTAAAGTACCCTCAAGGTCAAGCCATGATTCAATTTACGTCCCTTATTCCTTGAAAGCACAGTTGGACAGTCACCGCTACAGTTTTGCAGTCACTCGTCGAATAAACGAGCACTCGTTTTTCGACAGATTTAAACGGCAATTACAACGTGTTCAATGTACTTATTTGTTTGCCAAAATATTTTATATATATTTGCAATAAATTTTTAATAATAATTTCTGTAAATATGTGCGAATTTAAGTGCTTTGAAAGTTCAATAAATTTTAACTGGAATAACTTTCAATTAAAAGCGAATTTAACAAAAACAAAAGGTACTTTTTCTCATACGAATTTGGTACATTTTCTATTGGTGTTTTGTTGGTTGGTTGGTACAAAATGGCGGCCGTGCTGGCAATGTCAACGACCGACTATCGATAACAAATGCAAATGCAAGTTTTTATCGAATGCTATTTAGACGAAAGTTCAAAATCCGCGCCGGCGAAAGTGCAGATGATTTGCGTGCGAAGCGCTGACTCAGAGGAATGCCACAAAAAAAAAAAATAAATAAAAAATATATAAACAAGAATATTCGACGAAAATTCCCAAAAATGTAATAAAAAAACCGAAAGAAAAAAAAACCGAAAACAGGCGCCAATTGACAGCGCGACTGCGAAATGAAAAACGTGATAAGCGGCGGCTCGTAAACAAAACAAATCAAAATTAAACAAAAATATATACATACCTGCAAACATATATGAATATATGTATGTGTATAAATTGAAGCACATCAGAAAATTATTTATACGCGCAATATAATTAAGTACTCAATGAACCGCAGGGAAGTCGCCGCAAGCAGCAACAAAATAAAAAAAAAAAAAAAAGCGGCCAAACAGGCAGCTGCCGTTAAACCGGGCGACGGCAATGGGCGCGAGCAGGAGCGGTATATGCATTGGACAAGGTCACGTTGGCTCAGCCTCAGCTCAGACCGCAGCTGGCGCCGTTCGATAAGCTGCGACTTTTGATAACACGCACACGATTTCTGTATAAAACATTGCCGCCGCATCCCAATCAGCAGCACTTGCGGACTTACAGCCCAATCAGCAACAGCAGCTTGCCAATTTGAATTTCAATTCCAATTCCCCATCCACGTTCCACATTCCCAATTCCAAATTCCAAATTCCAATAAGATGTCGCAGTACAATTTTGTCGCTCTGCTCGCCTGTGCCGTTATCCTAGCGCTGGCCAGCCACAGCGCGCAGGCGGCCATTGCGCACGCCGTCTTCAGCAATCCCAGTAAGTATACATCCATATCCAATTGGATTGACTGACAATTAAAGACAGACAGACAGATATATGTATATTTTTACTGATTCACCTTCGTTTATTTGTTTAGCTTACCCGGGCAAGTGCGTGCTGGACTCCAATTCGATTATGACGCCCGGTCAGACAGGCAAGGCACCGAATCATCCCTGCGCCGGCGTCACATGCTTGGATAACGGACATGTTGAGTTTCGCACATGTGCCGCTGTAGCGCCACGCAAGGGCTGCAAGCTGCGCGACTTTGTCAACACTGAGCGCAACTTTCCCGAGTGCTGTGAGCGCACCTACGACTGCAAAGAGCAGATCTAAATTTCTCTGTTATCGCTGAGCGCTGCTCCATCCATTTCTTTGTTTTTTTTTTTGTGTTTGTTTTGGTGTTGTTTTTTTTTTTTCGTTTTTTATTTATTTTGTATACTACAACATAACAATTAAAAAGTAAACGCTTAGCAATACAATTAAATAATTTAATAAAATCATTAACAGAAAATACATATGCATCTATGTATGTTTGTATTTTTGTTGTTGCTGTGGGCATAACTACACTGTTCATGTGTGTGTGTGTTGCTCTTTTACTTTACTATATACATACGCACTGTTGGCGCAGCTTTTATGTTATGCAACTCAGTTCATTGAACTCTTATACATCTTATACGAATGTACGTACGTATGTGCGTATGTGTGTATGTACATATGCATACGTAATCTGTGTGTGACAATGCGATTGCCCGCGCATGAACAGAACAAAATGAATCGGAAGAAACTAAAGGAAACCGTTTACTTTTTTTTGATAAGTTCTGCACGTTGTTTTGGTGTCTCTTGTTTGTTTTGTTTTGTTTTTTTTTTTCTCTTCTTCTAATTATTATTATTATTATTATTATTTTCTTAGTAGTTTTCTTGTTTAGTAACTGTCGCGTTTTTGTGTGCGTGGGCTGGCCGTCTCCTATCGACTGAGATTGTTTATGTAGAGCGCATGGAGCTCGGTGCGCGGAGTATTCTCGAACAGGGCGGCACGATTCTGGCCCTCGCCCTTCTTTACCCAATGGCCGTAGACGCGGAAGGCGCAGCCATCGATAACCTGTTAGGGCGGATAAAAACAAAATGGTTACGCGGATAAATGTTTGGGGCAGTGTTGTAAAGGTGTTGTGTTGTTGTTGTTGTGTGTGCACTTACCTTGCGCAGCACCTTGACGCGATAAGGATCGCGTATGGCATCCTCGACATGCAGCGGCTCGGCCGTGTAGCGCAGGCGTCGTATCCTGATGACAGCGCGTATCACTAATATGGCAAATTGGAACTTTTTGCGCGCATTGAAGCGACTCTGTTTCCGCAGCTAAATATGCACAAAAAAAAAAATAAATAAAAAAAAACAAAACCACACAGAGGATGGGGCTCAATTAGTTATGGGTTAAGTAATTCAAATTTTATTGTTAGAGCTTTTGTTTTATATTCGTTTTTAGTTTTAGTTCATACGCCTTGGATTAATGTGATTAACGTTAGCAGCTTTTCGATACAACAATTCGGTGAGCGTGTTTTTTGTTTTGATTTTGCAAGGTTAAAAGACTTTACACGCGAACACAGCTTGCGTTACAATAGTGTGAGTGTGTGTGTGTGGGTGTGCATGTGTGAGAGCGAGAGAGAGAGAGAGAGACAGACTGTCGGCTTAGTTGATGCATTTGTATTAGATTCGACTAAGCTGTTAGTTGCGTGCTGTTAATGCAGTGCATTTAACATATTATGTTAATGCGACTATACGAGAGAGAGAGAGAGAGCGAGAGAGAGAGTGGGGAATACATAATTGACCACGGTGTCTCTCTCGGTATGCTTGTGGTGTATTCGTGTGTGAGAAGCATAAGCAAAAGCATATCAACAAATAACGGGATCGAATAAACTCAAAAGTGTGGTGTGTTTGGGTAGTAGGCGTAACTGTTAATTCAGTGAGCGAGTAAGAAAGAGAGCGCATGCGGAACGCGCTCAAGGACAACACACACACAAATATATAGATATATGTACATAATTATAGACATACATATATATTGGATAAATAGAGATATAGAATTTAACAATATGGCAAATTATATATATGTATATGTATATACTGTAAGGTAGCTAATTGTTTATAATTTGGATTTTATTTAATTAATTATTTTTTTTTTTTTTTGTTTTTGTTGGCAATTTGACTTTTTGGTTTACTCACAAGGGAGTCTCCACAACACCGACTTATAGACACACATCTTATAAGGGCGTTGAGACTCTGACAATATAGAGAACATGACACACAAAACAAAACGTGTATATCAAATCATACAGAGGAGAAATTAAGAACAAAACAAAAAACATCGTCAGTGAATCGGTAAGCGTAATTTTTTTTTTTTTTTTTATAATTTCTTGTTCTTGTTCAAATATTATCTATGTGAATATGTGGTGTATTTATGCATATGCTCAGAGGTGTACTTAACAGTTAGAACGGAAAATAACATGCATGCAAAGCCAAAGCGAGAGAGAGAGTGAGAGAGTGTGCGAGATAGAGAGAGAGAGACAGAAAGCGCAAACTACAACAGCATTATGATTAGTGATACACAACATATGTATTTATACGAGAATACCGAACAGATAAAACGGCAAAAGCGTTTTGATTCTTAACACTCATTTTTAGATAATTTGATAAATTGACTACATCCAGTTAACCCAAAGATATATATATATATATACTACATACTATAAAGGTGCATATAATACAGTTTTTATAAATCAAATACGACTAGTAACAGCTAAAAAATAAAGAAATTTTTGTTTATAAATATTATAAAATTAATCATAGGTGTTACAAACTAAACAAGTCTTCCATGAACCAGGCTGGCAAATAGAGTATCAAAGAGAGCCAACGAGAGAGCAAGAGAGAGCGTAAAAGTGAGTGTGAGTGTGGTGAGTTTGTCCTGCTACATTTTACTGTGCTTAAGTGAAATGAAAGAAGCGAGTGGAATTGAGAAGTGAGCGACGAGCAGTGTGTGTGTGTGTGTGTGTGTGTGTGTGTGTGTGTGTGGGCGCCGCTGCCAAAGGGTAACTGTGTGTGTGTGTGTGTGTGTGTGTGATAGATGCCTGAAACTTGGCGGCGTGTGTTGAATTTCTTATTGGATGATGGCACTAATCAAAGTCAACTAAAAAGCGCGTTTCGTTTAAAGAGCATAAAGAATGCGGTGTACAAACTAAATTGATACGTTAACATAAATTGATTACAAAAACAAAAAAAAAACAATAGGAAAAACCTGCCTGCACTGATGAATACAATAAATGTTTTGCATTTGCATTTGCCGCACTCTCATAATTATCGTTATCGTTATCGATGCCCAACTGTTGTCGCGCCTTGATAACTGTTCCCGCCTGCGGTCGCTGTCGCTGCTGCTGCTGTAACTGTAACTGCTGCTGCTGCTGCTGTTGCTGTTGCTGCTGATAGTAAACGGTGGCCGTCAAGGTCATCGAGGAGGCGGAGGTGGAATTGGAAGTTGTTGCTGCTTTGCTTGCTGCTGTCGCATGGCCAGCAGCACCCGCTGCCTCCTGCTGCTGCTGCTGCTGCTTGTCGGGTTCCGAGGCAATGTAACTGTTGTTGTTGTGGCTGCTGCTGCTGGCGGCGACGTCGCGCAGGCGATTCGATGAATACGAGCTCTGCGGCGCACTGCAGTATATGTAGGAGGAGCCAGCGTTGCCACTGTTCAGCTGGTTATAGCGAAAGGCTGCCTGATTGTGGCTAGAGCTGGCACCGTTACCGATACCTGAACCGATACCGATACCGATGCCAGCGGTCGCAGCGTTGCCTGGATAATTGAGGTATTGTCTGGTATTTGAATGCAATTGCTGCATATACGTTGAATCGTTCATTAGAACCTAATTATCACATTTTGAATTGGTTTTTTTTTTCGAAAGAAATTGAGTCAAAGTGCAGGCAGCGCGTATGTGTTGGGTGTTGGGGTGGGCAAAAAACGCAAAGAAAATGAAGAATCAAAATTGTATAAATGTTAGGTTAGGTTATATCAATATGAACAAAACCACACAATAAACATAAAACTAAAAATATAACTCTAAATATAATATACATATATGTACTCTATTAATTAAACTTAACTTAAACATATTTTGTTGGATTTATTGCTTTTCCAAAAACGCGCCTATCTTTCTTTCTTTTTATATGCACCTTTTTCTTTTTTTTTTTTTTTTGGTATTCTTCTCACTTATGCTTGTAGAAGAGAGAGAGCGAGAGAGAGAGAGAGAGACACGCACACATGCAGCCAGTATAAGAGTATACAGCACATACATATAGTCGTGGTGAGTTTCGTGTAAATGTTAACGCCAGATGCTAGACAGAGTTGGGCGTGCATGCACATGGCTGCTGCTGCGCTGTTATTGTTATCGTTATCGCTTATCGATAAATGTGAAAAAGTAAAAAAAAATCGCAATCGGAATTATAGTGCAGACGGAATGCAACGGGACAAGGACAACGAGAATACATATTGATAATGAGACAAGCAAATAAATCGTATGTTTAAAGCAATTAAGATAATTCATTAAATACATTGTACATACTTATTATTAAATGCGTAAAATGTGTAACTTTAAGGTTATGCAAATGGATAAATGGCACGCATTCAAAAACGATAACGAGCACGATTACGATAAACTGAAAAAAAACTAATCGATAAACACAAACAAAACATTTCGCTGTTAATTGATCGAATCGAATCGAATCGAATCGAACACACAATGCAAATATATAGAGTATATATAACACAAAATGCAACAATTGAATGTGACTGTTTCTTTTCTCAATCATTATTATTGTTATTATTATTATTATTATTATTATCTTGCTGCTGCTGTTGTAGTTGTTATAGAGTAATTGGGGGTTAGTCCGCAAATAATTCGTTACCAGTGCGATTTCAGTGATGCGACTCATTCTTCTGGACTTGGTCGACAGGCTGCGCTTGAGGCCATCAATGTTTTGCTCGAACAGCTTTTTTTTTCAGTGTATTTTTTTTTTTTTTTTTTTAAATATTTTTAGTGTTCGAAAATACATTTTTTGGTAAAACATTTCAATTCGTATTCGTGTGTTTCGATTTTGGTAAAGTAAACGTTTATATATATATATTTTTTTTTGTTTGTTTGTTTTTGTATTATATTGTTTATATGTAAGAAAAAGAGAAAAATGTACGTATATATAATAAATTTTAAAAACATAAGAAATGAAGAACAAAAAAAAAAAAAACAAAAAAAAAAAGTAGATAGATATATGTTTAAATGGGTTTTGCGTGGGCTTAACTTAAGGCAAAACATAGGAAATTTCAATAAATATTTCTATTACGTAACTAAAAAAAGCCGAGGAAATGCAAATACAGTGAACGCTC